AAGAAAACGATAAAAACTAACTGACATTGGGTGCACCATAGGGCTATCACTGGGGTCGATAGGCCCGAACTTGATCCATTCAATCCAAAAGAAAAGGGGTCAAGTCTATTATAATACTGGATTGGGCAGAGTTTGGATCTAGATTTAAAACTTGATTAAAATATGAGTCGAATTTGAACTTCTATAGGCTCAATCCAATTAAAGCCTGTATATAGCTATAAATGTATTATTTTTAAATATGTAATGTATAATTAGACTATTAGTAATTAGTATTGGTCTTGAAGACTTAGATTCATTATATAAATATATTTAAAGAGGAAACCCTATTAGTAATGACTATTGATGATGTTTTATTGTTATTTTTCATTTAATAATTGGATATAATTATTATTGAAAAACTTTTGGTTTATGTACTTTTAATGAACTTTTTATTGATTTATGTATAGTTTTAATATTGTAGATTGCAAATTAACTTTACTACTTAATGGTTAGAGTAATTATATTAAACAAATTAAGGAATAATAAGTAAGTTTAGATTAAATCCAAATTAGGCTCAAATGAATGTATTATGAATCAAATATAAGTTTCACATATATTAGTCCAAAATTTATGGATCCAAATCCAAATGTCTTGTTAATTAGGTGAGTCGAATTTGAACTCGTTAAAACCCGAATTAGATAGCCCGACTGGCAGCTCTAATCGGATTTAGATATATGTTACATGTTGAAAACTTAAAATTCAAATATGGATAGTATAAGCACTGTGAACAAATAATTTTAGATCAAACTGTTCTTTTATTGTTTTATCCTTACGGGTCCCTTGTAACTGGTCGTTAGGATTTGGAATATAATGACGAAGATTTGTATAAAAGTCGAGGGGCGTTATTTTCTTACTACCCCCCTATTTCTTGAAATTTGTTGTCTTTCCCAACCTGTTTCACCCGATTAACAAACAACACCAATGGACATTTTTTCTTTCAGAGTACTAAATATGGATTTTCACACCCTCACTAGGAGACAACTCTAGGCCCTCTGCAAGAAGAATAAGATCCCTGCAATTAGAAAATTGTGAAATTGTCCATCAAATTCAATTGGAAAATTGTTATGTTTCTCCACAGAACAATCAGATCCCTCTTTGACCTTGTGAGTAACGAAATCCTCCATATTCTTCTCAGACCAACCTCGCCAAACTTCAGTTTTATCATCTTCAACCCATCGATTTTCACTAAAACAAAACAAAATAGAAAAATAGACCTCAAAAGCATTGTTAAATTTCAATTTCTAGAACCCAAATCCCTATCAGAAACAATAAAAAGGAAAAACAAACAAGCAAAAACAAAGACGAGAAGAAAAGAGAAAGCTGAGAAGTAAGAGGAGTTACCATTGTCACATTTGGTCACCATGTTTGGTCGTATCTAGCCACAAGGAAAGGGGGAGCAGTGGGGAAAGAAGCGGAGAAGGATGGGAGGGTAGATTGAAGAAGAGGCGAGAGGAGGTGGAAGGGTGAGGGACGGTGGCGGGAGGAAAAGGAGGGGGTGGTCGGAGTTTGCAGCAGTGAGCAAGGGTAAAAGGAGGGGAGGTTAAAAGCAAAAGAAAGGACAAAAAACTTCAAAATATTCATATTACCCTTGACGGCGTAATTTGATACTCTTTTTTTTTCGAAATGGTAGGATCATTTCATTCAATATAACAAGAAAATTACAAGTGCGAGCAAAGGTTCGAAAAGACTATACAACTAGTGCTCAATAGCACTAAGGTCATCCACAATCTTCCCCTTTTTGATGATGACAAAATAATGGATGGAAAGAAACAAAAATAAGTATAAACTCCCCCTCAATCATCGCATCCAAAACTTATAATTTCAGAAAAACTCCCCCTTACACATAGCATCCATCTCTCCCCTTTTTTGTCATCATAAGATGAGAGTAAAAAATCAACTATCATAATCCAGTAACAATAACAGAGTATAAAAACAGAAAAATGACAGCAATCACCAACATATCACAGAGAATTTGATATCAAAAGAAGAATCAACATATGACAAAGAGTTTTGACAAAGCAAACCATCTTTAGATCAGAATTGTTCTTTTCTTTCCCTTTTGATGTCATACAGATTCAGTAAAATTCAAAAACTCAGATCAAAGTATCAGAAATATCAAAAACAAACATTATGAACAAGAATCACTGCAATGATTAACAAAATTTCCTACTTGTTAGAGTTAGTATTATGTCTAACTATCCACATGCATTTCATGCCTTTTTTTATATTTTTTCTCAGATAGCAATCACTTTTCATGTGACCTTTTTTACAACAGAAATTACACATAACCAAAGAGTTATTCACATAAACGGGTTTAATAAATCTGATTTGTCTTTTCCTATGGATAGCAAATTCGTTGGAATTAGAATTCAACATATTCTTTTGAAAACAGACTTGTTTCTTGTGTTTAAGCAACTCATTTAGACCATTCATTCTTCTTTTCAAATCACCTTGTTCCTTTTTGAACAATTCACAAAATTTTGTTTTTCTATCAAGTTCAAAATGTAAAGCAGTCTCACTCTTTTTGAAGTAATCATTTTCAGATTTCAACTTTTTATTTTGTTGAAAAAGATTTGCATTATCTCGAAACAAAAAATTAATTTTCTGTTTTAACTCCTTGTTTCTAGCATAAGATTCTTTCAAACTATCATGCAATTTTATAATGAAAGATTCAAGATTATCATCAGTTTCATCATCACTTTTAACTTGAGAATTACAAGATGTTACCTCATCATCTCCAATGACCATAAAAGCTAATTGAGCAGATTCTTCATCCTCTTCAATTTCACCATCGGAGTTGCACTCATTCCATGTGAATTGAAATTTGTTGAATCTTGGTTTTCTTCCTTCTTTCTTCTTCATCACTGGACATTCACTTGCATAGTATCCAGGTTGGCCGCATTCAAAGCACTTATCAGCTTGTTTTTTATTGAACTCTATCTTCCCTTTGTTTCTCAAATTGTTGGACTGGTTTGGGAAGAAGTTGCTAGGTCCACTTTTTCTGAATTTCCTCTTGTTGAGTATTTTTTTAAAGTCTCGTGTGATGAGTGCAATATCACTATCATCACCTTCCATGTCATCTTCACTCACGGAGGTTGGATCATCTTCATCTTGTGAAGCCTTCAGAGCAATATTCTTTCTTTCTTTCGCGTCCTCCTCCTCTTGCACTTTAGATTTAAGTTTCAGCTCATAAGAGGTTAGAGAATTAATAAGAGATTCAATAGGAATAGTATTCAAATCTTTAACCTCCTCAATAGCAGTTACTTTATTTTTTCAATCATTGGACAAGGCATTCAAGATTTTTCTATTTTTCTCACCTACAGAATATTCTTTTTTCAGCACCTCTAAGTCCTTAATGAGGTCATTGAATCTACAATACATCTCATCAATGTTTTCATGAGGTTCCATCTTGAACGATTTATATTTGGTAACCAGAATGGATTTCTTTTATTCTCTAACATTCTCATTACCTTCATGAATTTCTCTCAGTTTATCCCAAATTTCCTTGGCTGACTTGCAGTCTTTGACTCTAATAGATTCATTTGAGTTTAAAGCACAATATAACACATTCATGACTTTAGCATTTAAGATAAGATGAGTTCTGTCTATAGCAGTCAGTTCACTTCTTATTTTTTGTCTAGATTTATGAGTATTTTCATTTATAAGAGAGGCATCATATGGACCTTTACTAATAATAAACCACAATTCAATATCAATAAATTGCAAAAAAATAATCATTCTTTCTTTCCAACTCACATAATTTGACCCATTAAACATAGGTGGTCTAATCACAGAATGTCCTAAAAAAAATATAACATTATTGGTTGTCATTTTTACTCCCAAGCCGATTGAGTTTAATCTCTAGGAGACCAAGCTCTGATACCAATTGTAAGGATCGAAAACAACCAAGAGACAAACAATGCAAAGATCATAAACGTAACAGTAAGTAAATAAAAAGGAAGGAATTGCAAACCAATTAACCACACAGCTCCTCTTGAGCTTGTAGATTAATTCAATCAATCTTCTTCAAGTTGATGAATTATAATCACTCTTGTGTACAAAGGAAGGTTCACCTCCTCCTTGCCCTGAACTCCACTCGGTCAAGTCAGGACGTTTTACTATCCCTCAAGACAACCCTCACAGAGCTACACTCATGAAGTATTCACTCACAAATGAAAAGCTTACAATGAACCTCACACCACTAAGACTACAAATTTTCTTTGAAGAGTATTTTCTCACTAAAATCTCTCTAGATCTTTTGTATCTTCAGTGTGCCAAAGTTGTTTTAAGTGTCTGACCAACCACTATTTATATAGGACCAAGAAAGTGCCTCATTAATGCTTCCAACGGATAGAAAGTAGCTGAACAGTCAACTAGCCGTTGGTAGTGTCGGACGTCCGATAGCCCTGTTTTATGCGTCCGACAGCAGACAGTGAGTTTAAGAAATTTTCTTCAATTCTTTCGGACGTTCAGTAGGTTGGTTTTCTGCGTCCGAAGGTATGATGTAAAATTGGAAAATTTTCTTCAATTCTTTCGGACGTCCGGTAGGTTGGTTTTCTGCGTCCGAAGTGACGCAACGATTATCGGACGTCCGATCCTGACTTCTTAAGCGTCCGACAGCTTCAGCATACTTTGTCCCCTTTCAATTGCACTTGTCATGGAATCAAATAACTTCAAAACTGAAAGTATATCTTGAAGAAATATTAGTATCATCCATTTGTTTTGTAAACATCAAAAGATAGGGATCAAGATCAACACACAAGAATGCCTAAGGCATGAGAACTTAACCTTTTACTTCTTACTATGCTTTCTTCCTTAACCAAACAAAACAAGCACATGCGAAACAACTTTTGCATGTTTAAAATGTCATCTATCAAGGTGACTAATCTACTATTGGACGGACTCTTGTACTTTAGCTGTCTCAGCAGTTCCTGGTTGTGGGAGTGAATCTTGATTCTACTCTATTTTAGCTCTAGAGCTTTGCACAACGCCAGCTTAATGGCCACTGCTTCATCTATGGTTTTATCTCCCAGGCTTCTCTCTTTAAGTGCCCATTCCGCAAGCCTGATGCTTGGATGCCTCCTAGCTGTAACTTCAATCCCCAGTGAGACCTGGCCCTAATGACTTGTTGTAGCCACGTCCAAGATAATGGTACCCTCTTCTGCCTGCCCCTGATAATGCTTTTCATGGTTGGAAGTTGTTTCTTCTGGGCTCAGGCTGGTTTTAGTGTTCAAGCTTTCCTCTTGCTCGAGCCATTCCTTCTGAGCTTTCCCAATTATCCTAACTGGTGAACAACTGCTTATATTTTCAAATTCCTTCTTATTCCTATCTTTCCACACTTGCCATAAGATGTTTGCAGTCAATCCGATATGCTCCATCCCCCTTGGCCTTTTCCTTGCCTCTGGGATTCTTATCCACCAACGTTTGAAGTCTCCTTGTTGGTCTACCGCCCCATCCCATTGTAATGGTGCCGACTTCCATATCTCTTGAGTGTGTTGACATTTGAGCAAAAGATGTTCCATTGTTTCCTGCTCTTCCCCACAAATTCTACACACTGGATCTCCCAATCCTGTCTTCCTGTGCATTGCTGCTCTTACTGGTAGTGCCCCTGTTAAACATTTCCAAATGAAAATCTTTATTTTATGTTTGATGTTGAGCTTCCAAAAGGTGTTCCACATTTGTCTAACTTGTTGACTGCCATATGTTATACTTGGCCCAGCTCCTTCTACTTTTTCCTTCTCAGCATTAGCACTCTCCTCCATTAGAAGTTTATATCCTGAACTGACCGTGTATATCCACCCCTACATTGTGTTGCCAATAATAACTGTCCTCCCTCTCCGTTAGACTTATGGGTATGCTTAGGATTTTCTCAACATCACTCTGATGGAAATTCTTGAAAATGGTGACTTTATTCCATCTGTGATGACTGATTAACTCATGAACCATCTTCAATTCCCTACTCAGTGGACTGGATGAGGTTGGTTTTCCTGAACTAGATCCAGGAATCCACCTGTGGTCCCAAATTCTTGTACTTCTCCCATTGCCAATCCGTCTAATCACCCATTTGTCCATCAAGCTTCTGGCTCCTAATAATCCTTGCCATATCCAGGAAGTATTTTTGTGGATCTTGCATGTTAGTATTGAGTCCTTGGGGAAGTATCGCGCTCTCATCATTTTGCTTAACAGAAGGTTTGGTTTAGTGAGTATTCTCCAAATCTGCTTACCTAGCAATGCCTTATTGTAGGCTTCAATGTCTTTAAATCCTAGGCCTCCTGCATTCCTCTTCCTTGACAGTTTCTTCCAAGATAGCCAGTGTATTTTGTTTTTGCCATTAGATTCCCCCCACCAATAATTGGTCATCAGTGAGCTAATATCTTTACATAGCTTCTTTGGCAGTTTGAAGACAGACATGGCATAGGTTGGCATAGCCATTGAGACTGCCTTAAGCATCACTTCCTTGCCTGCTGAGCTCAGCAACTTGTTCCTCTAATCCTGCAGCTTTCTTTTAATGTTTTCCTTAATGAAACCAAAAATCTGGTCCTTTGACCTAAAGATGACCATAGGCAGTCCTAGGTACTTTTCTTGTTTTATTTCTGCCATCCCTCCCATTGAGTTACATACATCTTTCCTTTGCTCCATGGACATATTCTTGCTAAAAAAGACAGACGACTTATCAAGGTTAATCAACTGTCCTGAGGTCTCTTCATATATCTTGAGGATCTTCATGATTTCTGAGGCCTGCTTCATGTTAGCTTTACAGAAAATAAGTGAGTCGTCTGCAAAGAAAAGATGTGAAATGATAGGTCCCTGTCTGCTAATCCTCAAGCCTGTTATGTCCTTCCTCTCTTCAGCTTTCCTCAGCAAATTGGAAAACCCCTCTGAGCAGATTAGGAACAAATAAGGCGACAGTAGATCTCCCTGTCTTACCCCCCTCTCTGGTGTAACAAAACCTTTAGTTTCTCCATTGCAATTGAAAGAGTATGATACTGTCCTCAGGCAGCTAAGTATCCAATTGATCCATTTAGCACAGAAACCATCTTCTGCATCATTTCCTATAAGAAATGCCACTCCACTCTATCGTAGGCTTTGACCATGTCTAGCTTGATTGCCATATATCCTTCTTTTCCTTGCCTTTTGTTTTTAAGGTAATGCATGTACTCATGAGCTAGGATTGCATTATCTAAGATTTGTCTATCTGGTATGAAAGCTGATTGGGTGTCACTAATGCACTTGTCCAGAACAAGTTTTAGCCTATTGGTCAGAATTTTGGAAATGGTTTTGTAAATAACACTGCACATGCTGATAGGTCTAAAGTTTTTCAGACAGGTTGGATTCAAGATTTTGGGGATCAAAGAAATGACAGTATGATTAATTGATTTAAGCATAAAGCTTGAGCTAAAAAAAGATTGAATAGCTGGAATCAAATCCCCTTTGATAATGCTCCAAAACCTTTGGAAAAATAAAGGGGATAAGCCATCCTGGCCTGGAGCTTTTTCAGGCTGCATGGAAAAAAGGGCTACCCTGATTTCATCTTCCTCAACTAGTTTAGTTAAGTTGGTGTTCATCTCCTGATTTATGGAGAGGGGAATACCTTCTAGGATCTCTGCCATATCGTTTCTCCCTCCACTTGTAAACAGCCTTCTAAAAAAACTAGAGATTTATGAGATAACTTCCTCCTCATTTCCAGTCCAAGAACCATCATCCCTTTGCAAATTTCTGATCCTATTCTTAGTCCTTCTCCCCCTAACAAAGGCTTGGAAGTACTTTGTATTTTTATCTCCTTCTCTAAGCCATTCAATCCTAGCTTTTTGGCTCCAGAATTTCTCTTCTTCCTTATAGGCTTCTTTAAGCTGGTTCTTAAGCTCAGCAGTTTGTTCTTTTTTGTTATTCGAATCTGAGACTCTCACCTCCTCCAAAGCCTTGCCTATTTCCACAATCTTTGTCTTAGAGTTTGCTTGGAAGGTGTTTCTCCATTTCAAAAGTTCAATTCTGCAATTTCTGATCTTTTTGGTAACCTTGAACATACGGGAGCCAGGCTTATCAATCTGCCAAGCTTGCTCCACTACCTGCTGAACCCCTTTCTTTTGCAACCATTTTTTGTCGAAGTAAAATTTTTTTTTCCTTTTCTCCTTATCTGGTTCAGTATCCAAGCAAAGTATGCTGTGATCAGAGGGATACGTGTCCAGGTGTTGACATCTAGCTTTTTCAAAGGTCTAGACCCAATCATAACTGGCCAAGCATCTATCTAACCTCTGTCTAATCTCTCCTTCATCCTCCCAATGGTTACTCCAAGTCCATGGTTGGCCTTCAAAACCTAAATCTATCAAGTTATTATGATCAATAAAATCCTTGAAGTCCTTAAAGCTTCTCTCCTCTCTGAGATTTCCTCCCCATTTTCTTCATTGGACACAATGTCATTGAAGGCTCCTGCAATCATGAATCTATCCCCCCACAACCTTCTTCTATCTCTTAGAACTCTCCATTGTTCCTTCCTAATCTGATCATCACAGCTCGCATAGATCCCTATAAACCACCAGTCGCAATGGTAATCATCATCCTTTATTCTGACCTCAATAGTGAAACCTGTTTGATTAACTTCCAAAATCAGTGTTTCCTCCTTCCAAAGGATAGCCATACTTCCTGCCTTGTGCATAGCATCCACTACTGCACTATTGTCAAACCTTAACCCTCTAGCAATCTTATCCAACACATACTTCCTGTTTTTAGTCTCACTCAGAAAAATCAGGCTTGGAGAGAGGAGGTTATACATCTCCCTCAGATGGGGAACTGTCAAGGGGCTCCCCACTCCTTGACAGTTCCACACCAAAACCCTCATATCCTTATGGGGGCCCCATTAGGGAAGGACCCCACCTCCACCTCAGACATAGCTGAAACTCCAGTTGCTTCGTATGGCTTAGCTCTTTTATTTGTTGTCTCTTGCTGGTGCATTTGTTCCATTTCCCCATCCAAGATCAACATCTTCCTTTTCCCACTTCCTGTAATACTAGTGTCTAGTTCATTTCTCTCCTTCAGAGGCCTTCTTGTTTTCATTGGGGACTTCAGTTTCGTATAAGACCTTTTAGCATGTTTTTTAATAGCTCCTAGTGCCTTATCAGTACTTTGGACCTCTTCCTGCATCCCTTCCTCCCGCACTGGAACCTCTTGCAATACATTCTCCTGCTCCATCCATCTTGTATTCACTTCTCTGTCTTCCTCTATTCCTTCCATTCCTATAGCCATTGAGTTCTCCTCCACTGTGTCCTGTACCACCAGAGGGAGATCTTGCTTCTCCTTGGTCAAGAACTGGGTAGCATCTCTGTTCTTTTGTTCCATTCCCCAAGTTCCTACCTCATTAGAAGGGCCACTTTGAGCTTGTCCCTCCCTAACCTCCTCCTGCTCCTTCATAGGCTCCTGATTGCTTCTAGATCCAAACTTAGTGTTCCTAAGAGTCTCCAGAAGTCTCTCTCCAGAAAGACTCTTGTTCCTTTCCCTTTCAACCAATTCACCATTCTGGAATTTCCAATACCTTTTATCTTTCACCATGTCCTCCCTCACCATTTTGTCCTTAGAAGGACTCCTGATGTTACCTGCTCTCATCCAAGGGCCATATTGGTTCTCTAAGAGACTGCCTGAAGCAGTTCTTTGTGCTTTGCACGTACGTTCTCCATGGCCTACAATTCCACAATTATAACAAAAATCAGGGCACCTCTCATACTTAAAAGCAACCCATTTGAGAGACCCTGCTACTTGCACCAATGTTCCTCTGAGAAGGGGTTTTGACAAATCTACAAGAACTAGAGTCTTCAGATGTCTACCCTCTTTCCCCCCAACCTGAGGAACAATGACCTCTGTGACTTCTTTAAAAACTGCACCTATCTTCCTTCCTACCTCTTTGGTAAGCCAATGCACTGGCAAATTCCACATCTGAACCCACAGAGGTGCAATTACAAATGCTCCATAATTATCCTCTATCCCTTCAGGCCATCTGTTCAGCACTAAAATCTGGTTGTCCATAATCCAAGGACCCCCTGTCACTATCCTTTCCTTATCTTCTTGCTTTGGGATATTAAACTGAAACAAGTTCGGCCCCAACTCCATAACTGTCAGACCTCTAGGATAGCTCCATGCTGCCGTAACAAAGTTCTTCACCCCCGTGAAATTTGCTATTTTCTCACCCATAATTCTTCCTATCAGACTGCCATCACAATCTCTCACCCCACTATTTAGGTCCTCTAGCTCCAGATGAGCTCCCGATATCTCATTTCCCTCCAGGGAAAATTTTTGTAGTAACTCAGTCAGATCTACCTCCATGGATATTTCCAAAGATGCTAACAGGTATTCCCTTACCAAAGAACCTAGGAGGCTATACCTTTTTAACTACTAGCCAAACTAGACTAACCAGGGACACGCGACACAAATAAAAACAGGGAAGAAACAAGGAACACAACAGACAAAGGCAAGAAAAGACAAAGACTAAGGTTGAACAAAGGTGACTGAGTAACAAAAAAACAAGGCACAATTGAGCAAACAAAAAGACAAGAAGCACAGAAAAAAAAAACAAGGCACGGTTGAACAGGAATTACCTCAGTAAAGAGCAAGGAAAAGTTCAGATAAATCAAGAAGTACCTGACTTTTAGCTAACCATAAAGTGGAGTTATTCAATTTCCTTGTGTTCCCTCTGGAGCAACATCCTTAATGGCCCTTGAGATCAATGATAGTTGCATTAATCTAGCATTTGGTGCAGACCAGATTGAAAGTGATGAAGGTTATAAAATTTTTGTGAAGAGGTGCGGGTTGGTGGAAATTTGAAAAATTTTAAATGGTGTTGAACTCCCACCAAAGGGAGGTGGGCTCTTATCCCAAGAGAGAGCTTCCTCTACACGATAAGAGGATTTATGAAGACTACCTGGTTGTCAAAGATGCGTAATTTGATACTCGCTTAATACTGATGACCACCGAATAGAACTACCAGAATCTTAAATAGAAGTTAACAAATTGACGCAAGAATGAATTTTCAACCATCAATTTGGAAGGGGACTAAAGATGACGATATATTTGTTATATCCTAATTGCGACTTTTTTTTTGGGATAAAAATTGAGGGAAAAATGCTAGTTTTCATCTCTAAGTTTGGGTCATGATACATTTCGTTTTCAAATTTTTTAACGTAATATATTTGGTATCCAAAATATCATTTTTGACCAATTTCATTCTCAAATGAGAAATTAATCAATTTGAATGAAAATTGAACACGTGATGAGCATAAGCCTAGCCTATTAAGTAAAAAAGCCTTGCATTAGTTAAAATAAGTAAAAGAAAATGGCTATATTCACTCTCCGAAATCCAATGCATTTCTTAAAGAACTCCAATTTCCATTCAAACTAGACTAATTTCCCATTTGATGATAAAATTGATCAAAATTTGATAGTTCAAATACTAAATGTGTTATGATAAAAAGTTTAAAGATGAAATGTGTCCATGGTACAAAGTTTAAGGATGAAAATTGGCATTTTCTTAAAATTTGGGAATGGCCTAAAAAACCGAGTTATCTTTGGTTGTTTGCATTTTCTTTGGAAGGTACAAGGTTTTTGCCTGGATTCTTATTGTTTTGCTTTATTTGGGGAAAATACTTGTTTTCATCCCAAAACTTTGGGCCATGGACATATTTCATCATTAAACTTTTTGGCATAACACATTTAGTATTTGAACTATCAATTTTTAATCAATTTCATCCTCAAATGGGAAATTAATCAATTTGGATGGAAAATTTTCAGTTTTTATTCCCAAAATTGGACCACGGACACATTTCGTCCTCAAATTATGTGTTTTGGCTATACTGTTGATTCTATCTTTTGTTGGCAAAAATTGACTTTGATGCAGTTGTTTGAGGATGAAATGTGTCCATGGCCCAAATTTTGGAGATGAAAACTGACATTTGCTTATTAAATTTCAGCTTGAGAATGAAATTAGCAAAAAATTCATAGTTCAAATACTAAATGGGTTATGCCAAAAAGTTTAAGAATGAAATATGTCCATAACCAAAGTTTGGGGATGACAATTGGCATTTTCGCATTTTATTTGTGGCAAAAATGTCTCAATGTTGGTGGTCAACAAGAAGATGCTTTTGTCATTTACAAAATTCTTGAAAGTTAAAAAAAATACAGGTTAAACCTTGTAACTTTCTTTTTTCCTTTTCTATTCAAACTGCATCAATATCACTAAAAGAATCAAAAGTAGAGCACTATGGCTCTGCAACACACCAAGAAATCTGTCACCATATGTCTACTTTTCTACTTTTACCTTCTACTTTTATAGGAAACAAAAGAATTGATTCAATCCCAAAACCTTGCAAATGCAAAAATAGACAACTTAATTAACTTTCTATTCTCAGAAATGCAACAGCATGCCTATACGAGGCTGTAAATGTCTTACTGTTTCTTTTACTTTTTTCTGTAGATAGTAGGACACTGTTAAACAAACTTTCCCATTTAAAAATGAAGTTAATTACTTTTTAGTCCCTCCACGAACTTTTACCTCTCACCCCAACCATACACTTTTTTTCCCCTAGCCATTTAATCCCTTTCTTGATATTTTTCAACAAAAGGAATCCCC